GCGGCGCGGACACACCCCCTGGCGCCCCGGCACTGGTGTCGCTCACCCCCGCGCCGGCCTACAGCCCCCAGCCCTCGTTATCCTCGGCAGCAGTGGCGTGTCCCTGCGGGGCCCGCCACGCCGGGAAGGCCTCTGTGAGCAGAATTCCAAGAAGAGGGAATACAATTTGCCCAACTACCAGTCTCTTTTCATATCGGGCTACTGAACAAAACGGCAAAATGAGCCGTGATTCCGTGATTCTGTTTGATCAATTATAATCAGAGCGGTTGTAGAAGTGACATATAGAAGCGAGGGTGGGAAGAGGGGAGGGGGATGAGAAGAGGAGCCCGAGAGGCGGAGCCTGTGGGCAAGGCAGTGGTGCCCAGATGTCTGAACAGATTAATAGACCCAGGTTTTCTGATTCCTTGGAGGCAGCGGAGCACGTGTTCTACTAGGATATCCTTAGCTACTTCTCTTAATTATTTCTGCCACTCTGGCAGGAATCTGTGGAACACCTCTCCTTCCTAGAGAAGCAAATGCTTCTTTTCATCACTGAAAGATACAGCAAGTTCCAGGGCACCCCCTGCAGGCCCGGGCTCCCTTACTGTGGGGTTTACTGAGCCTGTTCTGGAGCCCTACAACTCCCTCTCCAGGAAAACCTCCACCAACCTGCCCTCAGACCGACGGTCTCCCCATCCACTCTCATTCCCTGGGTGATCTTAACCATTCCATATCTTTAAACAACTGTCTTTACCAAATGTAGAAGGGTAGGGGGACATGGTTAATGCACAATATATACGTTAATGTAGATGTCACCGTGAAACCGGTAAATTTGTACAATTAATGTGTGTTAATTGTGAAAATATTAAAAGTAAATGAATAATACATTGTTAGTTTTTTGTTTTTGTTTTTACTTTTGACATCCAGTCTAGTCCTTTCTTCTAAATTCCAGACTCCAGCCAAACCTAGTATGTCCAAAACTGTTCCTTGAGCATCTCAAACCCAGTGTATACAAACCTGCTCCTTGCACAGCCTTTCCTTGGGTTTCTGCAGTAACTGTTACGCTGGTCTACCTTCCCCGTACCCTTCTTGGATGTTTTCTCAGTACTACAGTCAGAGCTGAAGGTCCTTAAAAGAAATGGTCATGATAAATTTCATTACTTCATCTCCTATTGCTTCTCTATTGCTTCCCTAGCCTCCTTGATGTTCCCTAAACATTCCAGGAGTGATTGTCTCCTCTTGGGTGGGAGGCACATACACACACAATCCAGGGGCATATACCCAGAACATCTTTTCCAAACATCCACTTAGCAGACTTCTTCGCCTTTTGGGAGACCTTGCTCTAATCCTACCTTCTCAATGAGGCTCACCTAGGCCTCACTCTTGAGTTAGCACTGCCAACCGCCCACTCCCACAGAACTTTCCCTTGACTTTTGTGTGGCATCTAATCCCTGGCTAACATACTTGCATAGCTTATTCTTTAATTTTACTGATTATTGTTGGTAACCCCCACTAAAATGTAAACAATCTGAAGGTAGGCAGCTTGTCCATTTTGCTTACCAGGGCATAGAGCAATGTCTGGCAGATAGTGAGTATGTAATAAACATGTATTGAATGAATGAATAAGTGCCCAAGATACTAACAGGAATGCTTCAATACACTGTATTGAATCAAAGTGCCTCCTTCTGTCCTCTGGTTGATACCTGAAACCTCACCATTCCTGCCTCTTTCTTTTGGGCAGTGGTTTTGGCTCCAGATTAAAATGCAAGGTCCTCTGGGAGAGGTATTAAGGTTTATCAATCATCTTCATTCTAATATGAGTAGCAGTCTATATTTTGTTAACTACAAGAGAAATCTGACCTCTTTGACATTGAGGGGTGTTCATACTCAACTTTTAGCCTCATAGACAAAATTTTAAATGATGCAAATGCAAATATTCCCTATTTGTTTTAGGAAACATCCTAGGTCCTTGTTTCTGAGATTGATATGTGATCATTTCATTAATCCAATAGTAAAGGTGATTTGCATTCCTTTACATACTGTAGTACAGGAATAATAATAGCTAACGTGTGCAAGTGGTCTGTGCCCGTTGCCCTGATGGGTGTTTCATAGGCATTATCTCATTTGATCCACATTGCAGCACCATAAAGCTTAATATTATTATCCCCATTTCACAGATGTGGAAATTGAGGCTTAGAAACTTAAGATTCATGTCCAGAGTCACCCAGCTAGTAAATGTAGAGCTTGGAACTTAGCCCAGGATGATCTGATATGAAACTCACACTTCTATTATCTAGCTCCCTCTTCTGAGGGGATGGCTGAAGGTGAGCTGGCAGAGGTAGGCTGCAGGTAGATGGAAGTTTATAATGGCAGCAAAATGATTGCTAATGTGCTTCACAGAGAGCCATGTAACTGGGAATAGATTGTATATGTGTTAGGGGGTCACAGGATGGATTTATAGCCCAGCTTTTCTAAAGGTAGGCACTATATAAATCCAGCAAGTAAATATTACCTTCATGCTTCTTTAGTTTCATTTTTCACTTCCCTTTTCAGCTGTGAAATGTGTTCTTTCCTTTCCAGAAAAAGGTATTTCCTAAATATTTGGTCTTGCAATGAACGCCCATATCCCTGCTTCTAACTTTGGAACTCAGCCCTGGGTGTTCTCTTTCAAGGTAACATTCTTGGCATGCCAAACAGAGACCATTTGGAAATCTGATTTGGGGATTTTGGAGGTGGTGAGAGCAGAGGAGGGAGTCTGTCTCTCTCTTTTATTGAAGGATTTGATTTCCCAGCTATAGATACTCTCCCTTCTCCTCGCCATCACACATTCCTTCATTCATGCCCCTCTTTCTACCTGATGTTAGATTGTATGTGCATGTGTCTCTTCTCCCCCACTGACTCACAGTTTTAATGTCTTAAGAAAGAGTAGCATGCTCAATCCTCCTTGTACATAACATGATGCTTTGTATATGGCCATTCAATGTCTCTTAGTGCATGATTTACTTATTCTTTAAAAGATTTCTTACTGTGACCACAAATATTTCCTTTGGAAGTAATTAAGAGTGCACTGAATTTGTTAATTACAGTGTACTTGTAAGAGTGAAAAACTTAGAAACTAAACAGTCAACAAAAATATTGGTTAAATGATAACTTTGAAAGAATGTTCCGAGTACCTCACATATATGAAGTCATTTGCTCCTCTGAATAACCCTATGAAGAAAGTATTATTATCCCCATTTTACAGCTGAGTAAACTAAAGCACAGAAAGGTCAATTCACTTGCTCCCATTTGCACAGCCAGAAGATGTTGGAAGACCTAGAACTTACCCCAGCAGCCTGGCTTCAAAATCTATTCTCTTTGCCACTACATAGATAAACTAAGGTGCATTCATACAAGGAAATCTAGCACAGATGTAAATAATGTTAACTGACAAGGGAAAAGACTACTTTAAAAAGAAAAATAGGTTACAAAATATTATATAAGGTACGATTCCATTTTTCATAAGAACAGATGTATATTTGAACTAAAACAACAACAAAAAAAAAACTACAAAGGGTCACACCAAAGTGTTTATGGGAGTTTTCTCTGAGAGGTAAGGGGTTGATTTTTCTTCTTTTGTTTCCTTGTCCAGCCAAAGACTTAAAAAGCCAGGTTACAAAGCAGGCTCCTTCTCTTCCATAGGCACCTGTACTTTCAGTGCAGAGAGCTCATTCCACCTCCTAGCCAGGGATGATACCTCTAACAAATGTCCTTGGATTAGCTTTCCCATCAAAGCCCCAAGTTGTCCCAGCCTTTTCTCTCCATCTGCCCCTCCTCCCTGGCAGCACTAAATGCTGCCACCCACCTGTAAAAATTACCTATCCAGTGTCTCAAGTCCAAATGCACTACATTTTCTTCATTGCATTCCAATGTGCATGGTTAAAGTGTCAGTCACTCTGTGCTGATGGCAGAGAGTTAGTGGCACCAAGCAAATTTTAACACTGTCCTTCTGAGAACATGTTTCATTCTTTAATTCTTTTTTTTAAAGAGAGAGGGAGAGAGAGAGAGAGAGAATTTTTGATATTTATTTTTTAGTTATCGGCGGACACAACATTTTTTTTGTATGTGGTGCTGAGGATTGAACCCGGGCCGCACGCATGCCAGGCGAGCGCGCTACCGCTTGAGCCACATCCCCAGCCCATCATTCTTTAATTCTTAACCCATAGGATTGTCCACATATAAGGTAAGCATTTTGAAGCAGATAAAAGTGGTTGGCAAACAAGAATAGGAAGTGATGAACCAGAAGGTTCAGCTTAATTGTGCTTTCCTGCAAGCCTCCTTCTTTATCTCTTCCTAAGGCCCCACAGGACCATTCCTTCTCAGAAGCCAGAGACTCAATCATTACCTGCAGTGGTTTTGCGATGGTTCAACTTAACTGAATGGGAGTCATATTTTCTAGAATTGCCTTCCTTTTGTGGCCCTGAGTCGGGGTTATTCACAAGAAGGATTTGGGGAGTATTTGAAAGGTAGAAGTAAAACAGCTGCCTTCATCCTGTGAAGATCAGCATGCATACATTGTCACCCATCTGTTGGCTTATCTCGTTGGGCTGCCCACAGCTTCTCTAGCTCCCACCAGATCTCCTTCAGCTACTCTGAATCCTGAGAAAAGCACAGGCCAGTTCTGCAG